GGTGCTTAGGGACATGTGTTTAGTGGTGGATTTTAAAATGTTGGGTTAATAGTTGGACTAGATGATCTTGGAGGTTTTTTCGCAAACTTAATGATTCTATACATTCACCTTCCATGAATCCATCCAAGTCTTTTTGGAATACACGCAGACTTTCAGTGCCTTTGGCAAACGTTTCATGTGCGAAGATGCATTGCCATGAACCCCTCTTCCCTAATGCTACATACAAAATCCCTCCCAAAGTATTGCACAAAACCATAAAATACCGGGGAAAAAAAAATGAAAAAAAATAATTTAAAAAAAGAGGTGTGAAAACCATTAGTACACGGAAGTGCAGCGCATGCCTGAGTTTTTCGCATGGAAAGCAAACCCCAGTGACCGAAGTTCTGGGCTGCAAGGGGAGCCCAGCACAAGCTGCGCCTCCTGCCATCCAGCGCGCCCCGGGCTGCGCCATACAGCGAGGTACAAGTGACATCACTGCTGGAGGAGACTGTAGGCAAAATACATCCAGGAAAAGGAAACAGAGAAAGAGGAAGAAAATGAGAAAGAGGGAAAAGGGAAGGGAGAAAGAGAGGGGAAGGTAGGACCCCTCGGAAGGCGGAGAGGGCAGCGCCTCACGGCGGGGCCCGAGCGCGCGCCGCGCCCGGCGCTTTGGCGCCCCCTGGCGGCTGTCCCGGAGCAGCGCCGAGCGCAGGCCCGTCCCTGCTGCGGTCTGGAACCGCCTGGGATTCGGCTCCTTGGCAGGCGACAAAAGGGGTGTACCTGGAACAATCCTCTCAGTTTTGAACGGTTTTTATAACAAAGCTTTTCTGGACTCAAAGCTGAGCCTGATATTTTCTTCTGAGAGCTTGTCTTTGTTAGGCAGCCTTGCCTGTGAGCCCCCTGCCAAGGACAGCCGCTGAAACCACAAAACCCGAAACTGTCGGACCAGATAAGGGCTGGAGAAAAGCTGAGGCAATGGAGGAAAATACGTGGAAAATAAATGGTTGGGAGTGTCTTTGTTACTGTGTGTCCTAACAGCCTTCTGTCTCACTGAAAATTGCATTAGGAATATGCATTTGTACATAGGTTTGTCTGCACGCCTGTGATTTTTATACACACATACACAAATTGAAAATTGAAATGATGGAGCAGAAAAGCTTTCTGTAATGAAAGGACCATTCCCTTCTTCATGTGAATTGTATCTTTGTACAGTCCTGCAGAATACCATGTCATTTGCACCACTTGGTATAAGAAGTATTCATTAGAGCACGTTATAGAATAACAACTTCTGGTCAATGAATATAGAACATGTCAGCAAAACCTGTGTCTGCTGAAAGCCAAGGATGCCTTCCTTTCCTCAATTTTAACTCATTTTACAATGAACTACAAAATGAAGTGCAGCCTGTCTTTATAGATTAGAACACCTGGCAGATCAATACCCATCCTGGAAATGTGTATGCACGTTTCCAGTATCCCCTTTGTAAATAACTTATGTTCTTCGTGCAGCCATATCAACAGAAATCCCACAAAACAACCCTCCCATGCCAATGGATTGTCTCTGCTGGCTTTTGGGTTGATAATGGGACAATGCAGGGCATGCTCCAGGGGGAGCGGTGCAAAAGTAAATTGAAGTCCCCAGAAAGGTTTCTTGTGACCAGAAAGGTCAAATGGTTAAATAATTTGAGTTTGCCAAACTAAGATTTACAAATTAAAGATATACTATGGGGAAAAGAAAACAAAAGAAATGCAGTTTCATAACATCAAAGGTTGCATGTCCTTTAAATGCAACTTCTCATAGCTTAGAGTATCATTACTGGAGAAGATATTAAGAGTATTTAAACCAAGATACTCTTTATTTGAAACACTCAGTCAGTTTCTCTTAATATGGTACATCCTACATGTTCCTTTATATTATAGTTGAAATAAGACTACTTGGGCAATAACCAACTGATTACTGGTCCTAAGTATATGGCCACAAAAATCTTATGTGTGGTAGTTGGGAACCATCAGCTGTAAATATGGAACATAGGCCTCTGAAACAGTTTAATATTCTTGTAAATTCTCTGTGTTTAACTAAAAATTTATTTGTTTTCACAGTTGTTTTATTATTAGAGTGGAAATGGAATGAACCTTTGAAGACAGTAGCCATCTATCACATGGAAAATGTTCTCTTGTCATTGCTGTATTTCAGATTTGCATAGGCAAGCTGCCAACTAATCTGTAGCACTCTGATTTTCTGAGCATATGCTAAATTTTAAAACAAAACTAGACTAAACCAATACTCACATTTCAGAACATCCAAATGATAATAAAACTCAGATTCCTATGCTCAACAGCTTTTCATAGAAACCTCCATGAAAGGCAATAAAATCATTAAACTATATTAAATTATATTAATTATTGTCTAATTACTTGTTTTGGTGCCACAGAAGCACTTAGTGTGATCATGACTTGTAGATAAAAAAGAATTAAAGCATTGCCCATCTTTTGATTGAGAATATTACATTGAAAACTCATATCTGGATGATTTATAGGAGTTAAAACCTGACTAGTATTTGCAATTTGGACTTCATCCTTTTTGCAATTAACACTGCAGATCCAGCTCTCAGAGCACAACAAAGACACAAGTCAAGCCTGGGGCAAAATAAATTCATTTTATCTACAAAGGGACAGAACTCTAAGACACAGAGAACATAGTATCTACCTGCAGCCTTTTAGTAAGTAGTACCTAATGGTATTAAAGCATACGTATTGAGTTTAAAGCAAGTGTCTGCAAATAGTCTTGGAAATGTTTTTATCTTTCAAGGAACAGTAAAAGTCAAAACCTTGCCCAACTACCAATATTGAGAATTCAATTCATTTTTTTATGGGTTTTCAATCTGACTTGACTTAAAGGTCCGATGCCTATTTGCAGGAATGATCCTTCAAGATTTAGTTATCTTTCCAGGCCCATCTCCACTGTGATTACTTGCTGCCAGCTAATCTAAGCAATGATGGCAATGGGGAGATTAAACCTGATAATTAATCATGGTAGTATCTTCCAGCACACATCTGCAATCTCCACTTGTCACCTTCGTTTTTAATCAGGGATTCTAATTAAGCCACAAGCAGCCTCAGGGTGTCAGTAGAATATAGCTCTATGCATCCAGAGTCCCTACTTAGACTCTTCATTTGTGCTTGCAGGTTTGGACCTGGTTGTCAGAACAGGGGCCCCACGATCAAAGTTTGAGGCTTTCATTAAAGCCATTAAATTTCCATGAAATTTAGCCACTGGCATTCTCCAGTAGGATTGTTGTACTGCAGCCTGAGGACTCTTTCTGACATAAGAGCCCTAATACAATGACACCATCCAGGCTGGCAGCCAGGATTAATACTCTTTTTAAACTCTAATTAATACTCTTTTTAAGCCTGTTAATCTTGGTGCAGAAGCTCTTTCATTTCAGTATCTACCTTTATAGGTCTGCTGGGTCCATGTTGCCATTCAAAAAGATTGCATTCCTAATTAATATGGAGTGAGAAGGAGGGCTAAACAGGGTTTACATACAATCTCTTCACCTCTAATTTCAAAGACTACAATGTCTGACAACAAAATCCCCCCCGTGCCCAGAGAATTCAGTTTCCCCCAAGAGTGGGACCTATTCCCTTTCTCACAATCCCTCTACAGGGCCTGTGATATTCTTCCTCAAGCTGCTTCCTACCCTCTTTCTACTGCAGCCCCTGTCCCCTGATGAGGATAGTGCCCAGTTTCTCTCTAGCAGAGAAAGGCCTTCTGCTTTTAGTAACTTTTTACATCCAACTGTTAAAGACTAGTACTAAAGCATAGAAGAGGAATGTTTTCTCTCTCATAAGCTTGTAACACACCCTACGAAAAGCTTCATTTCTTCCTATAGCTACGTATATCTTTGGGAAGAAGTTCTAAACCACTGTGGTTCTGAACTGATGATGGTTTCTGCTCACTGTAATAGTATTTGATCAAAACAAAAAATAGCAAAGAGGAAACTCACAGAATTTTTAACTGTTTTCATTCCACGTGCTGCTACAGAGCTGATCTACTGAAACTGAAGCAAATACCATGTCTAGCTACTGCAGATTAGATGCCAGGTTCCAGAAACACTGCTGTACTGACAACATTCACATTTTTATTGATATTATTTTATTTTTACTGACAGACATTGAAAGAATTAACCATTTTAAACATACTTATACAACTTAAATTGGTTTTGTTCACCACCACATGATCATTCACAAAGTGAATGCCAATGAGAATGAAAAACCCATCAGGCCCATATATCCAAAAATTAAAATTCCAAAGCTATGCATTTTCTTTCAAAAAAAAATTTTATTTGTAGTGAACTGTGAAATAGACAATGGTAGACTAAAAATCATATTATGAAACACATTGACTGTGCAAATTAAAAACAAAATAGACCATAGTTCTTGAATCTCAGTATCAACCGTACTTGTATAAAAATCAGGCCCTAATTCTATACTGAACCTTATACATCCATTGCAACATTTTTTAACTTGCCTGATAAGGAATAGAGAAAGAAGAGCTGATTCTGGAAAATTAACCAATGGTGAAGAAAAGATATTTTTCCAAACTATTATGATGGAAATGGCAGGTATATAGGTTTTTAAAAGAAAATTTGCTGCAATTTCTTAGAATTCAGATATGCAGAGAGCACAGAAAAAGCACATTCAGAGGTCAGCATTACACTTCCTTTTATAATTTTTTTCTGCTGGTTCTGAGATTGCCTAAGAGTAAATAAAAGTTGAATAAAAGCTGACAAGAACTAAGCTTAATTCTTTTTCTGAAAACACAGTTCTTTTAGGACCTTCTTACTCAAGCGGGAACACTACAAATGCTGACATTTCCCAATAAAAATTAGTAACTGTATTGTAGAAGTACCTAATAAAGTTATAAGACTGAAATCTTCAAGTGAAGATGAAAAGTATTTATGATTGCAATGATACATTATTCCACATAATTGCTAGAAGAGATATATTTCTATTTTCATATGCTAATGGAAATATGGATAATAGGTTCTCCGAATTTTCATTGAAACTGATTTAATTTTGACTGGTTTATTCTTCATTTTCCATGTATCCCAGTGAATCCCAGTTGCAAGAAATCTACCTGTGTAGCGATGAACACCATTAAGGTTTGCAAGACCGCATTTGTTGAACCACCATCCGGTGCCATCACTGAAGTTACTGCAGCTCTTTACAGGCTGTTCTTTAATAGTGCACACTGGCCTGCATCCATCATTATCAACATCAAAAGTGCTGAAAGGCATTGAATTCTGGTTATCTTCTTTTCTATATCCTCTGAATGCATCACCTAAGCACAACAGATAGAACAGAAGGATAAAAAAATTATTTATGGAAGAACATTTCTTGCTTGTTGCATATCTTGCAAATTTTTCCTCTAAATTTATTAGAAAAAATAGAATTCTTCAGAAACGGTTCAAGAACACCAGATAATGAGCTGGTGAACTGGTAAAGATGAAGGAAAGAAAAAGAATAAAATACTGAAATATGGAAGAAGTTAAAATTTGATGAAACAACATCTTTATACTGTTGTTGCTTTTAGCAATGCATACTGGCTAGAAAAGTAAATGCTTCTGTCCTCAAAGAGAGAGGAAGAAAAGATAAACAAAACAAAAAGGCTTATAACTTCAGATTTTCCAGTAATGTGTCCAAAGTCCCAATGAGAGTCATGAGAAAAGGTGGAATTGTTAAAACTCAAAGGTCGTTGATTATTGGCTCTGTTGTCTTACTAAAGAAATACAAGTACAGTATTCTTTCAGATACAGGTAGAGGAAAGCACCAACACCTTTAGAGAATAGCTATTTCATTGGTAATAAGGAACATTCTTGCATATTACTAAACATGTAAAAAAATAGAGAAAAAAGCAGTAAGACATTGTGCAATACTTAATGAAAATCTTTGCAGACTTTGGATATTTATGCTATTAAGAGAGGTCTGAAATTGTAAATTAATTTCTGTCTAGGTATCACTCAGTAACTGTTACACACTGTAGACCAACTTTTTTCCACTCAGTTTCTATCTCTACCCTTTGTACTTGACTCTCTGGGCACTTCTGAATTAACCAAAGCATCGTCAGGAAGTCTTCCACTAACACCAGAAAATCTGGGATGAGATAATGGACATCTAAAAAACTGTCCCATTAGACAGATAACAGTAATACTTACAAAATCCCATATTTATTATATACATCCCATGGACTTGAATCTGTTAAAGATCCTTCCTTTATTCATCTTTATTAAAGAAGAGTTTATTCAGTTACTCCATTAAGGACATTGAAGTGATAAAGTGATTTCCTACTATGTAAAGATTAATGTTGGCATAACCAAAATCACTATATCATCAACCATTTATCTGCATAAGTGTTCATTATGCGCCAGAGAAAAACACATTATAAATAATTTTTTTAAAGTTATCTTAGTCATTACTCTTTTGAATGCATTTTCTCATATTAAGAAAGGGAGCAGCTACTTTTAAATACTTTAAAGTAGAAGTTCTTACCAGCATTTCCTGAATAATGCCCCAAATGGATCTTAAAAGAACATGTTTCATCCTCTATCCAGAATCCATCATATGATGCATAGGCATGCTTGTCATTTTCTGATTCCAAGTCCACATAAAGATTGAAACTAGTGACTTTTTGATTTACTATGTCAAAAATCTTCCTTAGTCCAAGCCAAAATTCCCCTTAAACAGAAATATAATATATAGTCTAGAAATGGAAACTGTAAAAGAAAAAATTATTGTTCTTTCTTTTCTACTTTTCTTCCTGAACCAAATGTAATAAATGTTGTATGATACGCTTATATTCCTTTAAAAGACCAATGAAGGAACATCCAATTTTCCTACTTCCTTAGGAAATCCACGGAAAGAATTCGATGTGGGTATCATCTTTTTTCTCGATGATACTTTTTAGAAAATTGTCCACATGATAGATTTCGAACATTTGTCTGCAATATATCTTGGAAAACCACAACAAAAATGGATGTGCTAAAGATCCACTTGCATAAACCAAATTCAGTAGCATTCCTAAGGGCAATACTGAGAAGTGATAAATGTTAGCATTCTATGAAACACAACAAAACACAAACCCTGTTCTCGAGATTTGCTGCCTCCGTAAATTACACTTGTTGCCCCATATGGGCTGTGCTTTTTTGTACAGAAAAGCTGTGTGGTTCCATTGCAATCCCAGATAATCTTCTAAAAAAGCAAATGGGTTTGGACTTGCTGGATGAAAGGTGGAAATAAAAAATTATTATCACAATTGTGTTGTTATTAGCTACTGAAATATTTCCATTCTGTTTCTAACTTTGCTTGTCCTATGGTGAAATATTACTGATTCTTCTCTCATTTAAGGAAATATTTTGCAAATGTGGTTCAAACCAACTAAGGCTATTTTTTTTTAAACTGAAAAGAGAGGAAATACAATCTATACATTATTTCAGGCAGAAAATATCATATTTTAAACACCTCCTATGAGACTGCAATGCCTGAAGACTCTAGTGGGGTTACAGTCATTATTGAAAAGATCATACAACAGATTTTATTAAAAAAATCCTTACATAAAAATAAGACTTTTAAGAAACAAGAACTTTATACTCCTGAAACTCCTACACAATTAATTTAGTGGTATGTTGCTTACATAAAGGCAGCAGAAATGTAGGCTATCAAGCACTTTAGAGTATTTAAAATTAATACCAGTAAGATCACCAAATCCATCCAGATATTCAGACCATGTTCTCTGGAATTGAATGATTCCATCAGTTCTTTTCTGAATCACAGTCCATCCACCTCCTCGAAAATCCATGTCACAAAAAACCTAAAATAGACACAGATATGACTTCAGAATTCAGATTCAGACTTCAAGCATTCTTGAAGGAGCTGTTATGAAGAAAACATTTTAATTAAATAAAAGTGGGCTATTCAGAATTTTGCTAAGTAACATACCTTTCAAATACCTTAACAAAAAGCTCAAAGAAAATCAAAAATGAAGCTGCTGTATTTTCTTATATGTTCTTGTGGGACTGCTTGATTTGGTGTAGTGGGTTTCTGTGGCTGGGGTTTGGTAGTGGGGGTGGGCTATAGGGATGGCTTCTGTTAGAAGCTGCCAGAAGCTTCCCCTGTCCCATGGAGCAGTGACAGCCAGCTCCAGGATGGACTTCCTGCCGCTGGCCAAGGCCGAGAAAATCAGGAGTGACAATAAGGCCTCTGTGATAACCTATTCAAGAACAGGAGGTTGTGGCACAAGAAAGAATTCCAGCCAGGAAAGAGTGGAGTGAGAACATGGGAACAACAAGGCAGACACCAAGGTCAGTGCAGAAGGAAGGGCAGGAGGTGCTCCAGATGCCGGAGCTGAGGTCCCTGCAGCCCGTGGTGCAGACCAGGGTGGGGCAGCTGTGCCCCTGCAGCCCATGGAGGAACCCAGGCTGGAGCAGGTGGATGCATGAAGGAGGCTGTGACCCTGTGGAAGGCCCAAGATGGAGCAGGGTCCTGCCAGAGACCTGCAGCCTGTGGAGAGGGAAGACCACGCTGGAGCAGGTTTTTCCCGGGTAGGACTTGTGGCCCCTGTGGGGGACCCATGTCAGCACAGCTCATCCGTGAAGGACTGCACCCCATGGAGGAGTGACCCACGGGACAGCAGTTTGGGAAGAGCTGCTGCCCAACAGATGGACTCACACTGGAGAGGTCCATCAAGGACTGTCTCCTGTGGGAGGGACCCCACAGGAGCAGGGGAAGGACTCCTTTCCCTGAGCAGCAGCAGAAACAACAACTGACTGTAACCCCCATTCCCCGTCCCCCTGCACCGCTGGGTGGGAGGAGGGAGAACATGGAAGGAGGAAGGGCAGGGGGGGAAGGTGTTTTTAAGTAATATCCCCACTTCAAGTCTGTTTTGCCTGTGAAGGTAATCAGTAAGTGACCTCTCCCAGCTCTTACCTTGACTCATGAAGCCTTAGCTGTTTGTTTTTTTTCTCTCCTCTGTCCAGTTGCAGAGGGAGAGTGAGAGAGTGGCTTTAGTGGGTACCTGGCATCTGACCAGGTCAACCCACTACATTTGGATATTTCCTTGACCAGTAGAATCTGTTGTGTGCAAACATCTACTCATATCAGATATAATAAATAAGCTTCGATAACTATTGCTGTAATATTTATAACATGAAATGGAATCAATATGCAGAGTCATGTATAGTCAGGCAAAATATTATCTCCACAGGCAGCAACACTGAATAAACCTTTATTTCAGCAAGCAAAACAGATACAACTTCTTACACATTCTCCCTCACCATCACAGAAATACTGTGCTTGTGGTGCCTGGGAAATGTAGAGCCCTTAATAAAGGTGAGAAAATGGGAAAAAGTGATAGCAGTAACCCAGTATATAATAATACTTTGCAGCAGCAAAAACCTCTGCATAAGAAGGGGCCCCAATCCATGGAACTCCCAATGTGAACGTTGCAACTGAGCAGTCCCACTCAATATATAAGATCAGCTCTGAAATTTATGAGTCTTTATGAGTCTTTGCTAAAATTTGTGCCCAACAGTATGTCAAATGGCAGTGGTCCAGCTGCCCTCTGCTCTGCTTTGAAATATCACACTATGTGGTACATTTTCTCCTCAGTCCATTTAACTTTAGACATGTAATTGAATTCCCTACATATGTCCCCAGTGCCAGATCTTGACCAGTTCTAACTGGGATTATAGTCTGGGAATCTAGGTGTAAGTCAGTTTGACCTTCAGCAAAATCTGTGGCAGTCTGAGTGTTATGCGTTCCCCACACACACACTGCCTGTACTAGCCAGATATTTTTCATGAACCAGATTTGTTCCTTGGCAGGAATGCATCAACATCATATTCAGAGCCTCTGTGAATTAACATCTTCTCAATGAATGACAAGAAAGCAACAGGACAGAGCTGCAATGTGGTCTAATACAACCTCAGGAGTCTTGGATTTTCAAGTAAGCCAATGCCATTGGATGCTATGGGCAATCCTTTCAACACAAATACTAAATGAACCATAGCAAGGGTCATGTGCATGCATGAAAATTGTGGTCGTTATTCCCTGGAGAATCACATGCTTATTTCAGTCACCCAGGGAGGGCTGAACATGAATAAAAAGAAATACAGAAGATTCCAAAATCAATATTTAGATGCAAATACCTAAAAGTCACTCAAAATAATCCCATTGCCTCATCTGCTGTCTTGAGATGATTGCATGCTTGGCTACTTCTCTGACTATGAGTCAGAAATGCTAAGAGGAGCCCACTTGATCACAACAGCAATCTTCAGTCCAATATAAATCAACAGGAGTGTTGACAATTCTCAGAAGGAGCAGATTTGGTTCTACATGAGAGGTCATCAGCCAACTAAATACAGCACCAATACAAACAGCAGCTAAGTAAAAATATAAGATAGATAGATAGATAGATAGATAGATAGATAGATAGATAGAAATAGAGAGAGAGAAATACAGTCATAGCTGTGTAGTTTCTTAATTCCTTATATGGTGGAAATGTTGCAATTGAAAACCCTTATAAGACTTTACAGTTTGCTCTATGTCTCATGTCATGTAAGATATGAGAGGTATGATTGTGCCAGGTGCAATTTAAATTAAATGAGCAGGAGGATGCTTCCACTGAATATTTCTCCTTTTTCCATCTTTAGTGTGCATAAGAGGTATATTCCAAACAACTGTTTAGTTGATTTATCATTGATCAAATATCATTGATCTAATTTTACTAATTGAAAAATGTATCAGAAATTGATCATGATTAATTTTTCCCAAAGTGAAATTGTTTTTAATTGCCTCATGTTTAAATTCTCATACAAAAGCCCATTTAGGATTCATTTTCTAGATGCTGAAAACCTGCCACCACCACTGAAATGGGATATTTTTATTGCTCCTGGAATTCAGGTTTCAATTAGCCTAAGTTAAGCATCAAAATCTATACTCACTTCTGACAACATGAGGCTTCAAGCATGAAAACATGAGAACAGGATCAAGTTGTTTAAATAGTTTTGTTCATTTAACTGGTATCTTCATGGAAATGATTCTAAACACATTTTCATTTAGTTTCTCTTACATTAAAAGGGCAGCTTATTGCTGAAAAGGTCCTCATTGAAATAAATTGTTTCATTTTGGCTTTGTTTCCTGTTTTTTAGTTTCTTACTATGGTTTTCTGATTCTTGTTTATGTTTTAACGTCTTGATATTTTTGTTCATCTATCATTTCCCCTGTACTTTTTTATGCTTCAAACACATGAAAGAATTTGCATAAAATAGTTTTCCTTAAAATAACATCCTTTATAGAACACATATTTTACATATTTTTCTCTGAGAACTTTTTGGCCCTGTCTTTTAAGTTCTGTGCAACATCTACCAGACTAGGAACGAGACACTCATTTCACAGCTGCAGACATTCTTCTCATTATTTATTTTTACCTTTTTGTTTTAATCAAATTATTATGATTTTTCTTTTTTGTAGCATTTTGAAAGGCTCCAATTGGCTAGAGGTAAAGGGATTCATCCTTCCTTTGTTGTATATAAAAGAAGACTATAACGTTAGATATTAAACTTTGCTATTTATTAGTTGGCTTAAATGTCATGCTTTTGTTTCAAAAGCTAATGACTCCAGCATGTACTGCAAAGTTAAAGGTTTGAAATTGCAATATCTGCCTTTCCACTACACATAAGGCCTCCTCTAGGTAGAATAGCCTGAAACAGAAAGAAAGACATAAAACAAAATATTCCTTGTGTTTGCATGAATGTGAATGTCCTGAGCCTGAAGAAATTAACCCAAAATTCTCTTCTAGATGAACACTATAACTCACTAATAACATAAAGTGCAGGTGGTGATAGGAAGCATGACTGCTGCAGTTTGTCTTAAGAATATATATCCTGCAAAATGGATATGAAAACTAGAATTTTAGATGCCTCTCTGCCTCAAGACTGGGTTATAATGATTGATACTCAGACAAGAGCTGAGCACCTGCTCCTCACACTAACGTACATCTGCCCCTATATTTAGATGCCTCCAGGCATCTGTGGAGTCACACTGAAAGAGAAGGCAATGGTATACAGCAGAATAAGTCAAAAGGCCAAAAGTCCCATTTTAGAAGCCAAATGGATCAGTCAACTGGCTCTCCAATTTTCCATCTCTAAAACAGAAAAGAACAGCACTTCTAAATGTCCAAACAGTGGTTGGACATTGGGTGCTGGAAAGTACGTTGGGTTTTCCTCTTTGGTACATTTTTCACTGCATATGAAAACTGACAATGTGCTCTTATGACAGAGATTCAATTTCTTTGTAGAAAATGAGAAACTTGTCAGAATTATAGTAACAGCAGACACATGCAGAGGGTTTACTACATTTCTTACTCATCTGTTGAGAAATTGTCAAGGAAAACACTTTAATAAAAATATTCTAAGTGCATATTCTCAAGCAAATTGTGACTATCCTGAGAGATAAATGTATTACCTCAAAAGGATAATTTGATCCTTCTGGATGGATAATGTACAGACCAGATGGAGTTTTTGAAACCGAACCAACGGTATCTTTAATATGAGTGCAGTCCAAACCTAGAGAAAAAACGTATTTGATGAAATTCATTAGCAAAATATGTTTTTTTAAAAAATACAGATTAAGCACAGAAGTATTACTATTCTTGGTAACATATGAATGACTTAAAATAGCATTTTTTTCTCAGGTAAACTTTAAAATTATGTTTTGTCATGAAATTATCTTGTAAATTCAAATTCTCTGATTTCCATTAAGCTCATAAGTAAGTATAAATTACACTGCATAGAGAAAGTTCTTTCTAATCTTAATAGATATGATACAGAAATTAAAGATTAAGTATTTGGGTAATTTTACAGATTTTTACATTTTATTTATAATATTTTACATTTTATTTAGAACACCTGTATTGAGAAAAAGACATATTATCTGGGAAATTATATCTTTTTCCTACAGATATTTGTATTTATGCTTGTAAAAGCCTTTTCATCATAATGTATACAAGAAAACCCATTTGTCTCTAAGTGTTAAGCCAGGTACATGTTCAATATACTCAAAGAAGCAGTTTCCACAGCCAGCACGGATGCTTAGACATAATGTTTCTTTTAGTTTGGATGGACACTACAAAGAAGATCAACTGTCCAGTGAGCAGTTGACTTACATCCTATTTGAAGAAGGATACTGCAGATGCAGAGCACACTTTATGTCCTAGCAAAAGAACATGCCATTTAGCAACATCAGATTTGTTACTAACAGATAACCATTCCTGGTATTTTGCATAAAAATCAACAACATGCTAAACAGGATGCCTGGAAATTATTATTGAACAGGATGCCAGTTACAAATTATTAAAAGCAGTATTTATGATAACATTTTTTAACCCTTTGTAAGTTTCCAGAGTTTATATACTACTAACACAGGATAAATGTCAATGTAACAATTCCTTACCTTTGCTGGTTTCTTGTCAAGATAAAAAGGTAAAAAGGGAAGGTATCAAGACTATATATGAAAAATATTTACCATGAGATTGAACTGCTTTGTAAGGAAGTGGATTCAGATGCTTTCTCAAAACTACCTCATTCAAAAGAACAAGTTTGTTCTTGAGTTCATTTACCTGTAAATTCAAATAAAAGATCTTTAATTAGGAAGCAATGAAGAATTTTACATTCTAAAGATTTTTTTTGACTCCTAGGAAATATAATCTGAAGTTTGGTTTTGTGATGTGTTAGTAAACTGTACCTTTATTACGCAAATCAATCTTCTTTTTTACTTTTTTCATCCAAAATCATTTTTAGGAACAATTCCAGTTAATTCAAAAAACATCCTTCAGTTTGATTAAAGCTTTTTATCTGTTCTGAGTGAGGCAAAGTGCTTGTAAAATACCATCAGAGCTAACCATAGTGTAATATGTTATCTGCACAAATACAATAGGACAGGAGATGGCAACTAATGGGAAGGAGTAGTCCTCCACTTATGCTACTGCCATGTATGACACTAAGTTGTAAAACAGGTGGTGCTCATCACTCCTTGTAGAATCACTCCTCATAGTATCACTCACAGCCTACCCAAGGTACAAGGAATAGTGATAGGGTCTCTAATTCTAATAGGGATAATGACAATAGTAATACTTATTTTTCCTCAGATAGACAACACCTGTAGTGAGTGAGAAATAACAAATACAAATGTTTATGATAAAGAAAAAAGTACCTGACTAGAAAGGTAGTCCAAAGAAGACTGTTGGTCATCCATCATGTCTCTGACCAGTTTTTGTGTACTTCTTGCATATTCAACAAGAGAGTCCTGCAAATTTCCTTCAAAAGAAATATGTTCATCTACTTTGTTATAATAAATCTAGAAATATTCTCGACTGAATGACAACACACTTATTTATGATATCTATGTGAATAGTGAAGGTGTTTTACCTTATGGAACCTGAAAGTGAAATGAAAGCAGTACAGTGGCCACAGATTAAAGCCAAAGATGCTAAAAACTTCAGACGCGCTAATTGCAGTAAAGACATCTTAAGACGTGATGGCTTTTCTTATGTTTTGAAGAAGAATTTCATCTTATTTCATCTTGGGCAAATGGGATGACCAGTAAACAGATATCACAGAAATATAAATTCAAATGATAAAAGACATATATAAGGTTTCCTATCATCATACATTTGCTCATTCACTGTGCTACTTCTATTTTTTGCCCTGATGCTAAAAATAAAATCATCATCATCATCCAGACAGATAATTAATAATATACACTAAAAAATCATATGTGAAAACCAAGAATTCATACAATTGTTTTCTGAGCCTGATTATATCATTTGCTGTGTAGTTTGTCAAGGCAGTGATAGAGAGTGTCCTGTGTATGCATGTATAAAAGGTAAGCTGAAGTACAGATTTACTCCCATGTAGTAACTAACTAACAAACTAGCTAACTCCCACTTAACACCCACACACCAAGCTATGATGTTTAAATGAGGGACAGACATGCTGCTCTTCCTCTCTAATGGAGACAGATACTGATGTTCAGAGGGTGACACAGATCTAGGTGGGCTGTGCTGCTGCTTGGACTTGTCTGTCTTCAGCCATAATTAACTTTGTCACACCAGCTGCATCCCAAAAACAGGGCGCCCCAAATTTTCTGAACAATAGGCAGTTTGGGCAGCAGGGTCAAAGGCTGTCACGTGCTCAAGAAGATTAAAAAATATATTGGCACAGCATAGCGTAGCATAGCAGAGGATTGCATAGCATGACATTGCATAGCTCATCACTAGAAGTATTCTTTATGAGTACATACTGCACATGTAATGTTTTTCCCCTTGTAAAATTTTAGCTTGAGCATCACATGGTACAAGGCATGGTTGTTTTTGTTTTGAAATATCTGCAGATTTATTTTTCTCTTCTGCCTTGAGTGGTCCCTCCACAGCTCCAACATTCCTTGTGTCCTGTTGTACCAAACAATGGAGGGGGAAATAAATTGATCATAAAGCATATATAAAATAGCTCATTCTGTCAAAATGAAGTAGGTTGCTCCACAGATCTTCCTTCAAAACCTCTTTCTTTACAACTTTGTCAAGCAAGAATTGACAAAGCTGAGGCCAAAACCTGTTTAGCCATACCTCACAAGAAAAAGATAGTGTCAGAGGTAAAGAATAACCTCTATAAATCTGAAAAAATGCCACCAGTATTTCTGGTGAGGTATTCTGCCTGTGAGAACTGTGAACTGGAAGCAAGAATGTGCAAATCTTGCAATTCAGAAGCTCACATTTTAGAAATCACCACACCCAACAAACATCTCAAATGCTAACAAAGGTATTTTCACTGGAAAGGAACAGGCTTCTGGATTTACCAGATATTAGCAAAATACTTTTAGTCTTGAAAATCCCTAAATTTATTACTCAGACTCTGATCAGGGAAATACTTGCATAAGTTATTAACCTATGCATTTAAGAAGTCCAGAGCAGATTTACAGACCAACTCAGCATTACAAAACCCCATTTTAAGTGTTTCTATAGAGAAATAGAATAAAGGGACAATATTCATGGGCACACGATTATGTGAAATAGTAACAATAATAGCATTAGTAGAAGTAGTTACAGTTATTAATGGTACTGAAAATAATATTTTCCTATTTAATGGTTTTTATTCTATGGTACCATGTGACATAAAATAAGGGAGTGCCTCTGAGTCATCACTTAAAGAAATGCTAAAAGTAATTCCTGAAATATGCGTCACTGACAAAAGATTAAGCAACGTATTTTCATATGAGTCTTTGTTTGTTGATTTTATAATCTCAGCAAACCATTTGCAGTATGTTCATATGATGTATTTTCAAATGTAAATAGGATTCTTAGACATTTCAAAATTTTAATGAAAAGGAAAACTTATTTGGACTTGAATATATCTTCAACATAGTTGTTCTTTTCCTGCTTCAGCTTTTTTCTTTCTAGTATTGGCACTGCCCTGGCAAAGCACTGAACAGGCTTTTCTCCTGAGTTTTGCTTTTAAAAAGTAAAACTAAAAATTACATAAAACTCTTAACAAGGAGATTTTACAAAAACGGTTTCTGAATGACTAGTATAATTGCATTTTGCACCTGGAAATAAATGGTAGAGAAGTAAAAGAACATGTTTCTTTAATTTTGAAGTAAGCACAAAGTAAAGGAGGAAAAATTATGTAAGAGTTACAAACAGATCACTTAAAATTTATAAATAGATCACTTGAAACTACAGCTTGTTCCAGAGCTTTATCACAGCTACTCACCAGATGTTCAATTAAATACTCTCAAGCAAATATTTTTAATCAATATTTATCTTTAACAAAAGCCAACATGACAAACAATTAAGTCTGAACTCAGCAATTCAAGCAAAAACTGCGACTCTGCCAAAAACAATAGTTACTCTGCATTTAGAGTCATGCAGATGAGATTAAAAATATGACCTAACAACTGAGCTGTGATAAAGGACATTAACACAAAAATGTTCTAATATCCTGAAGTCCTACAATTTCCATGTAGTTTCTTTTCTGAATCTGAAAATACCTGATTCTTCTGCATTTTCATATCTATCTTGAATAAGGCAATCTACATCTTTAAAACATCTGTCACTTTTCTGAGAAATCATTCAGTTATATTCATTATCTTTTCTAAGTAAAGTAATTTAAAATCTTACCTTACATGCACAATGCTTGCCATTACTTATGACAGTCTCTCCTAAACTGAACAAAAAAATATTAAGACAAATCAGTGAAGTTACCATAAAGTGGTGGTTCATCTTTTACTTGAAGAAATGCAAATGTTTTAAAAGGGTTTCAAATTTCTGTGGAAAGGATTGTACACAATGAAGTCCTGATCTAAGTATTTGGGAATGTCTACAGCACAAAGGGCAGCCAACACATCACTCCTTTACTGCCTGGATTTAATAAACCACATTTTAACTTCACAGTAGAATTTATATACTACTTCTTGGATCTTGAGGGAAGTTACCGCTTATCACCTCTACATGACACATCAAACACATATATTTTTATTGTGATAAACTATGACAGAATTTCTTATATGCTATTTTTGAGCATTGGTATATTTTGGTATGAGTGGTCTGGGCTACTTGAAAGAAAACCTAGTATTAATCAATGTCTTCAAATTTTTACAATGGTTTTTATCATTAAAATGAAGGTGTTTGTATTGTGGTGGTAGTGCACTAGAACAGGCATGGAGGCAATTTTGGGATATGTCATAAAAGCACGTTCAAAACAGAAAACTGAAAAACATTATTTTAAAGTAGTACTTTGCATTACATAGAAAATATTTACTGGAGGGACAACAGCAGTCTCTTGGTCTGACTGGTAGACCCACCTGTAGGAACACAGCTGCTGAGAGTGAGACAATCATTCAATACAATGGTTTTTATCCCTGAAGAATGTTAAAGTACAAGAGAATGGCCTGAAAAAGAAGAAAATTAAAGGCAGTCCACATAAGCTTAATTAAAACTATGAGGCACTAACAGTTTTCACACACTCAAGTGCATTACTTTTGTACCTAAAAACTGGATCTGATATTTTAACCAAAAAAAAAAACAAACACAAAACACAACAAAACAAACAAACAAAAAATTTAAATTGTTTTTTCTCTGGCTAAATAAATGAAATCTCAGCTTTTAATATACCACTAGGAGATACACTGTTCAAAGACTATTCAGAATACACTGTTCAACAGCACCTTACACTGGTACAGCGAGATAATGTTCCAAATTTGTCTTGATAAGGTGGTTCATCTCCATCCCTGTCTGAAGCTGGAATAGACAATAGCTTTTGCTATGAAGAGATTTGAAAGCATTTGTGAGCAGAGGGTTAATACAGTGTTAAATGCAGATTTAATTTAGTGGTTTAATCCATTTTTTCTTTAAAATTAATAGCTAAATTTGCTGTTCCTGAGACAAGCATATTCAACTGCTTGTGAAACTCTAAACAACTATCACTATTCTGTAGCTCTTGAAATCAAATTCTTATTTTTTTTCTGAAGTACCACACGGAAAATCATAGTTTTCCAGTATGAAAATTACAAAAGTTTGACTAGTGCATCAGTTGATACTCCCTAAAGACACAGGTTGTGATCCATAGTTTAATATCAGGAAAGTGAAAAGATTCTCATGGCTATCTATATGTGACATTAAAAGGGACCAAAAAGTTTTTCTTCTTCTTTCTATGGTGAAAGACTTCCATTTTAGGGTCATCTTCTCAACTGCTGTAACTGTGATATTGTAAATATTATGCACGTTTGGTGACCTGACCATCAGTGATCTTGACTGTAAAATGGTAATAGTAACACCTACTTCACAAGCTGTGCTACAAATAAGGGGGAAAGGGGCTGGGGGACGAGGTGTCTGTAGAGGAAAGTATTTTACAAATGCTGAGTACTATTTTTACCTTCCTAGTCAAAGACATGGAACAGCTGCACAGTGGAAAAAAAAAAAAGGAAAAATCGGTTTAAGCTGAAATACAACACCCAAGAAACGTCTCGCCAGGAAATCACCAAGGCATTTAGCCTGTTGCTGACAGCTCATCCAAGGCAAGGCAATATCCCAAGACAACCCTGCTTTGCCCCCAAAAAAAAAAAAAAAAAAAAAAAAAAAAAAAAAAAAAAAAAAAGTTTTACAGTTTTAAGAGCAAATTACTTTTGGGTTTGTTTTGTTTGTTTGTTTGGGGGGTTTTGTGTTTGTTTTTGTTTGGTTTTTGTTGTCGTTTGGCACTCAGAAGGACGTGTTTTCGTTCGGATACCGGGTGCGTCCCGGGTTTTTAAGCGGCCCCCGCGGTTCGCAGCGGTGCAGGGGGCACGGACAGCGCGGTGTCCGGCTCCGGGGTCCCTGATGGGACGGCAAGGCGCGGTGCGAGCGAGGTGCCCCAGCGCAGCTTCCACCCTGGCACGGGCACCGACGAGGACCTGCGAGGCGAGGCGGTGCCGGGGCCCGCCCTGTCCCTCGCTCCCGGCTCGGAGCAAGCGCCAGCACAGGCAGCGCCAGCCAAACAAGCTCCCCCTCCCGCTCCCCCGCCGCGGCCCCGCCCCGTTGCGAAGGAAGCGGCGTCCCCGGTTGCCACGATGCGGCGGGGCTGGGGCTGGGGCCGGGGCCCGGCACTGACCGCGGTCCCGGGGCGCTGGATGGAGCCCGGCGGGAAGGGCGGCGGGGCGGTGCGGGGGCAGCACCTCCCCGGAGCCCCGCAGGACCGCGCGGGAGGGAGGCGGAGCGCCCCCGGGTATCCTTCTGCGGGACGTGCGGGGCCGGGGATGGGGCCGGGGATGGGGCCGGGGCTCGGGCGGGCTCTCGGGGCTGGCTGCGCCGCTGGCCCGTGTGGGGCAAGGGCGGCGGTGGCCCAGCCCCCGCCCTGCTCTGCCTCTCGGTCAGGGACCGCCTCACGGGTGGCGTTAAATTAAAACTTAGACTCTTGTGAGTTTTAAGCTGCTGTGGGAAATTCGAATTCTCAGGCAACTTCGGAGTTTTCTTGTTTTCCCTCTTCTACGAGGCTCTGCTACAGGGAGCTGTATTTTCCATCCTAAGTGCTACTTAGATCAGTCTTGCCTCCTGCCAGTAGTGATTTGTCTCCGTGGAGAGAAATGCAGTAATGGTAATCAATTTCAATGTAAGCAACAAATAGTTTAGGTACGTGAGGGGCGGGGGGTGTGTGTTGGGGGGATTTGCTATTGAATCATTCTCCCTGTGGTACATGGATCCGTGTGTTACAGATTTAGAAAACTACAGAAATATGTCCCTTCAAATAAACATAATAAAGGTGAGATTTTTCAGCTGGTGATATCATGAAAGATGAGTGGAAAGCCTCTCTTAAAATCCCTTTAAAAAGTAATATGCAATTACATTCTTTTCTGGATAAGCATAAAGTTAGTTATGATTATAACATGCAATTATGGGACCAACTACTGTATGCTTAGTCAAAAGTCATATCAGCATTTTGTATCTCATCAATAAAATTTGCCTTTTCCCAAAAGAATTAAAGAAACATAAAAATCAATCAAAAATATAAAGTCAATTAAACAGGCTGTTTGATCCAATTTCTATTGTCCTTAACGCAAAACTAGGGGTAGAGCTTTAACATTTCATTTTGAACAGGATTTAGAAGAAGAACGTCGAGCTTTGAAAGAGGATCAGAAATTACATCGGAGTAAGACACAGAAATATTTGATAGAGACAAACAGAAGAAGAAGGTAACTAAGGTTCCTTTGGTGGAAGATTTAAAAAAAAAAAAGTCAAAACTATTTGCATATTCACTTTGGTCTAGCAGAGTCTAGGATAAAAAGTTTCACAAGTCCAGTTTCATGCTGTAGGACTAATAAAATAAAGAAGGAACAATATTCGGATTTACTAATTTTTGGAAACTCACTGTAGTCACCTCTTATTTTATAAAGTAAAAGTAAGTAGCACTTCCATCTTATGGCTCTGGTCTGCATTTCTAGTATTCTTCTGGGTTTTATTAGCTTCAATGGATGTGTAAAAAATGCACTCAGCTGTACAGAAAGGGCCAGCAAGCTGGAAATTGTTGTTTCCTTCTGAAGTGTATGCTTTTCTGGCTGCGCAGCATAACAGCTGCACAGCCTCCCCTTTGTGGTGGGGGTTTGTGCTCCCACTTTCCAATAAACACAGAGCAACATCTTTCTAGTACAGTATTATAAAGTTATTCTGTACTGACATTTAAAACAGACCTTTGAATAGTCTGTATTTCTGCATACATGAGAATGCAAAGCCATGAAATATTCTGTGACAAATGGATTAAGTAAATCAGACACTGAAATGTTTCATTGAAGTTCTGTGAGTAGTTTTAACAGATCTTTCCCCTTGCACTAGGATTGTGCTCACACATACAGGAGGCTTGCCTGTGTATTCTGTAGAGGCAGATGGGTTCCTCCTTGCCAGTCCCCAGCCTCAGGCCGGCGTCCTCTGCCTCATGTTAACTCATTAACACTCATCCCCTACAGTTCCTGTGTCAGGTGATTTGTTGTACAATGTTTACTGATTGGCATATGTTCATAACTCCTAAGAGAGGTGGTATATGTTTTTTATACTGCCACCTTAGCTTGACAGTATGTGCTGTCAAGATATGTTTTGAAATATAAAGAAAAGTGGAAGAGGAAATATAATCACCTGGGAGTGATTAAAGACAGTGTGTGACCCACAGCCTTTGCAGACAATAAACTGAGTCTCAGTTGAAAAATTAAATATCTAATTTAGTTTTCTGGAACAGTACCACTGTAACACTACACATCTAAGACGAACACTGTTTATTGTATTACTGGACTTGAAATATTATACTCTAATGTAAAAGCAAATACCAGACAGCCTGCATAGTTTTGACAGACTGGTGTAGTTAAACTAATGCTCACTGATACATAAATACAATTCCATATGTATTTCATTGCAACCTTAAGAAACACAGTATAAATCCAAGTCACTCAGGTGAGCCAGTTAAGAATTATAGGTATGGTAATTTCTATATAAAATGAAATTGTTTCAACTAGTGATAATTGAGAATGGCATAACTATTCGCATAATAAGCTGTTCAAATGGAAGTCTGGCGTGACAAGTCTGAAAAGGAGTTAGCTATTTAATGTTAGAAAGGTACTAAGTGCATACAGTGTTAATAAACTGTGAAATATAATTAAAAATTAAGGGTCAGTTGCATATATGGAGGAAAGTAGTTTGACAATAAAGGGTTCCTTGAATCTGAATATTTTCTCCAGACAGTTGTGCAGGTAGGAATTGATTAATCA